CAGTTCACAACCTAGAGGTCATAAGTTTGAGGCTGATAGCAGAAGTGCTCACAACGCAGCCTGTCAGATTCCAACGAATCTGTAAATTCTGCTAAATTCCTTGACAAAAGAACAGGAAAAAAGAAAGTGGCTCGTGTTATTTTATAGGTAGAAGTTTGTAGCACAGAGAGGTTAAAATTGAACATGTATAATTATATTATTCAGCATATGCTTTTATAAGCATATGCATTGCTTCTCTATGGGGCTTATCTCGTAAGCATAGAATCAAAGCATAAATATGTATTATTGAACATGTATTAAATTAGGAACCCATCTGAAACTTCTAGGGCCTGATTTTTTGCCAAATACATAGATAGCACTGCAAAGTAATCCATTTGTTTCAAGAACAATTGACTGCAGTTTCAGCTGTGATTGGTCAGTATTTCTGCAAGTTAGACCTCAAGGTCTCAAGTCAGACACTTACGGAATGAGGGACACAAAGTTGCAGGGTGGGCAAGTCATGTATAGGTAGCCACTAATTCTAAGATTTTAAATCATATTGTCCTCCCTGGGGTGCTCCAGCAGGTTTCCATCCTTTAGATCAGTGGTTCTCAAACTTTTTTTTTTCGTGGACCACTTAAATTGCTGGGGGTCTTGGCAGACCACTTAATAAACTTCTTTTGTTCTACAAATCAAATCACACAATTCATATTTTAATATCAGTAGTCTTACCTTTCTAATGTGATGGATGTGCCTGTTTTTTTTGAGCAAAGTTCTGGGAAGTGAGGTGTAATGTTTGTCAGCTTTAGCCTTAGGTGAGATTCAGCCAGAGCTGTCCCTAGGGGTGTGTGGGGCCTGGGGCATATCAACCTGTGTGGGGGCTAAGAGAAAGGGGGTGGTGAGTGGCCGGAGCCAACGGAGCTGGAGTTGGGTGGGGAGCAGCCAGAGCTGGCAGTGCTCGGCAGCAGCAGTGGTGGCAGCAGAGCTGGCAACGCTTGGCAGCGGAAACACGTGGTGGCTGCAGCAGTACCTATATGGCTCTGACTGCAGGGGCCCCCAAAGTGCAGGGCCTGGGGCATTTGCCTCAATTCACACTCCCAGGGACATCTCTGGGTTCAGTATTCATCCTGCTTCTGTATTTGGACTTGAGGGCAGTAAGTGGTGAAAATCCTGTCTTGCACAGGTACATAGTAGCAAGTGGCATCAGAAAACTAACTGCTTTGTCTGCAAGTTCAGGGTACTCTCGAGTTCTTTGAATCCAAAATTAAAATACGGAATATCTTTTAAATTCTGACTGTAATGTTTCGTCACAAGAAAGCTCCAACAAGCACTCTTGTGCCTTATTGGACAAACCAGAGGGCAACTCACTGATTTCAGTTCTGAAAGGATTATGTATCCAGTTGTTTGGTTCAGCTTCTACTGGAAAGTAATCTTCAAACTGTTTCTTAAGAGCAACAAGATGTTCTTTGATGTCATTTTTTATTTTTATTTTTTGTCAAGAACCAGTTCATTTTCAGACAGAAAACCTTCCAATGTTGGAAATGCACTGAAGTCATCCTTTTTTACACGACTAGCAAACAAGTCAAGTTTCTTGATCATTGCATTGATTTTTGTCTTGCACATCCAATTAGTCACTAAAACTCTCTGTGGTCCAGCATTCAACTCATTTAGGCTTGTGAATATATTGGAGAGGTAAGCCAATTGCAAGAGGCAGGATGGATCTTCAAAACAATTTGTGAATTGGAATGGATGGTTGTTAGAAATATCTGTACTTCTGAACGTAGCTCAAACAAACAAGTAAGTACTTTGCCTCTTGACAGTCACTGTACTTCTGTATGAAGAAGTTGTACATGAGCACTACCTATTTTATTACAGTGTACACTAAAAATTTGAGAATTCATAGGTCTAGCTTTTATAAAATTAACAGTTTTCACAGCAGAGTCCAAAACACCCTTCATTTCCACTGGCAGTTTCTTGGCAGCTAGTGCTTCTCGATGAATGCTACAGTGCACCCATGTGGCATTAGGTGCCACTTCGCGGATATGAGCCATTACCCCACTATGTCTTCCCATCATTGCTTGTGCACTGTCTGTACGTACTCCAGTGCAACCTTGCCAGTCAATACTGTGGTCCTTCACAAGCTCATCTAGTAACTGGAAAAGTTGTTTGGTGCTTGTATTTCTTAGCACTGAATGACAAAACAAAATGTCTTCCAGTATTTTCCCTTCCCACTCATGCCTGACGTATGCAAGAATATTTGCAAGGTCAGCGACATCAGTGGTCTCATCCAGTTGCAATGCAAAACACCTACTGCTGTTCACACATTTCACAAGAATGTCTTTAACATTAGCTGCCAGATCTCGAATTCTGTGTGAGTGTCATTTGAAAGAGGGACACAATCTAACTACTTTGCCATCTTCTCTCCACACATTATAAACACAAGTTTTTTATCTGCAGGCAGAATAAGTTCTTCCCCAATAGTGTGAGGCTTCCCCGCTTTGGCGATTTTGAAGGCTTGCACGATATGAAGCTTCAAGCTTTACATTTACTGTTGCATGAGCAAACATGGTTACTTTCCCTTGTTTCAACTCATTGAGTTTGCGCTGAAAAAAATCAGGAGGTTTATCTTTGAAAGCAGCAAGTATTGTCTCCAAATGACACCAGAGATTTACAGGCTTTAAGTTTTCATTAGCCAGCGCTGCATAGCATAACACACATTGCGGCCCTGGTTCATCTTGTTCACCAATCCTTGTGAAGCCTAAATTAATATAGCTTGAGTCACATTATTACCCTTTTTTGGCATGTCAGTGTATTTTCATTACCGGTACTTCTACTTGTACTGGTTCCTGGTAAATATGGGTCTGCACTCAAAATTTCCTTTGCGGATGTATGTTTGCTTTCTGTACTCTAGTCTCATAGTTGACTTTGAACTTTTTGCTGATCTCACCATCACTGGTTTGATTATTTGTTTCCTTGTTCAAATATCCCATTTTCAATCACAAATCCATTTTTGCGGGTTGGCTACTATCCTGCTTTCTGGACTGACAACTGTTTCATTTTTTTGAAAAAGCACTGGATTCTGGTACAGTCAGTACTTTCCGCGTGACAGTGATGACCAATAAATACAATACAGGTAGGTTAACTGAATTGCATCCAATGAAAACCACATATACACAGCTGAAAAATGTGACCAATTAAAACCATGTATGTAGTACCGTAGGGTGATACCAATTTAAAAAAAGCTTCACTTCTGGATTAAATACGAATAAAACTAAAATAACAAAAATATTTTCTTTAGCACCGGCATCATCATCAAAACAGCCTTGATCTCTGTTGTCCAAAAAAATTAATCAAGTGCAGGGCCAAGTACAGATGTTCTCAATTTGTTTCCGCAACCTTTCTGCGGACCACCTGAATGCAGCTCGTGGACCACAGCTTGAGAACCTCTGCTTTAGATCTAGTGTGGAGGACTCTGCCCTTTGAGATGCGGGGCAGGGGAGAGAAACTGTTGGCAGCAGCAGGTTGTCCATTTCTGGGTTATCCATCTCTTTGTGGACCCATACCCTGAAGGGCCATGCTTTGCCAGTGAGTCTCAGGTGTCTGCTGATGGCAAAGGAACAGTGAATTCAAGAGTCCTGGCATTATTCAGGGCGTTGGAAGGGATTGTGCCCCTGAGGGAATGGATCCATCTGTTTGCTCCCCACAACAATGACCTCTTCTGCTTCATCCTGTCCAAAATATCCCAGTCTTTTCTTGTCTGTACCTTTGGCTCCCTTGCCCTAGCCCCGGGATCCTTGCCTATTCAGTCTGTCGTCTTCCTCTGAGATTCCCCCCAGATTCTTGCTCTTAGCACCCTACTCTCTTACCTGATCTATCCCCACCATCTCCATTGCTTTCCATTCCCAGTCTCTCTGGCTTCTTGTTGGATCTCAGGCTTCCTTTACACTTAACTTCTCAGCTTCCAGTCTTGTCTTACCCTCCTGACTCCAGCCTCTAATCCCATTTTCTCTCTCCCCTTCTGTTTGCCTTCCTCTCCCAAATCTCCAGTCCCAGCCTCTCCCTGCTGAGTTTGTGATCTAACCTTTGCCTTGTATGGCTCTTGTCCAGTTTTCATTCAAATCAAGCAGAATGGTCTCAATAGGGAGGTAAAGGTCAGTCTACCCTGAGCTCTGATATCCCCTGCTATCAGTTCTGGTGGCTGACCACGTGCTAACCAATTAGAAGGAGCACATGGAGAGAATGGCCTGCTTGGGCCGTGCATGGAACATTTAGCTCTGAAGCTGTACGGTGTAAAGCTTCAGCTGGATCCTTTAGCTCTGCAGCTCTGTCATGCTTCTATTCATATGCACACTGATATTTTTTTCTAGAGACTTGGCCAAATCTGAGTGGATAATACTGGTGATAAGAAAAGGCATGTCATGTAAGCATAGTTTGAATTCATGCTTCAAATCATGAAGCCGCTGTAGCTTCTTGCTGAGACAGTTGTAAAACTTTAACATGGGAGGACTTCTTTTCGTTGTAGTTTTCTGGTTTTTTTTTTTTTTCTTTAACTTGTTTTTGGAAATGACTAGTGCATTTTTCCAAGAATCTTCCCAATAATTCAGTGTGAGATGGGCACTCAGCATGGAAAATTTCTGCCACAATAGACGATATCGTATATTTGCATGAGCAGAACTCTTGTGTTTTGGGAAATGCCCAGCAGTAAACGTAATAATAGGGGATTTTTCTGGCTCCATAAATTACATAAATGTGTTGCCTCATTTCCTCCCTCAAAGCCTTCCTTTGAGCGATTGAATGTAATGCTTTTTCTATTGGTGCCTAGGTACAAACTGCAATTTTTAGTTAGCTTTCGTGGATAGGAGGAATTTGAGAGCAGTAGAACATAGGATGGTTGAAATAGGGGCAACTGCATATGTACAAAGCAGCTACAATTAAATATGTGGTCAAGAAAAGGCAAATGTGTAGCGACCCTCTCTTCTGAGAATTTAAAATACTTTTATGTCTTTCTCACCTTATTCTAGAGTCTGCTTCCCAATTACCAGCACCACAAAATGTGACAATTGATTCACGTAACTTGTATAACTTACTGAGATGGGCTCCTGTTCAAGTGAAGAAAGGTCCAGTGTTCTATACAGTCCAGTATAAAACGTGAGTAAATAATTCTTGTGTACTGAATTAATTTCATTCTAATAGAAAAGTAGCCAAATAACAGAATCTAAAAATGAATTAAGTATGGATATGAGAAATAGAGGTGCACTGATACATTGGTCTTGTATTAAATTGGCACAATAAAAGGAAAATTGACATTATCAGCAGTTGGCTTTTTTTGCCTGATGTGGCCGATAATGTCGCTGATAAATGCCATGTGCATGTACGCGGCTGCAGTACAGCCCACAGGCACCCAGGAGTGCAGCCTGGCAGCATGGAGAGCAGCGTCCGGCTGGTAAATCTGTTGTGGGGGAAGAAAGGGGCATGGCAGGGGTGGACCAAGGCCCCTGTGATGAGGAAGGGAGTGGGGCAGGAGCAGGGGCAGGCACTGCACAGCTGGGGTGGGGTGCAGGATGGAGCTGCAAGCAACTCATCTGGGGGTCACAGGGAGTGGGGCATGGCTCTGGCTGCTGCACATACCCCAGGAGGGCATAGAGGGGTATGTACCCCCCCAGATCTGCATGCAGGGCAATGGGGACTGGGGCCGGGGACAGTGCCAGGCTCTTCCCCAGGGGTGGGGTTCGGGCAGGTGGTGGCAGTACTAGGAAGGGAGGGTATGGGGGGTGGGGGTGGAGCTACAGCCATCCCAGAATTCACCATAGCCCCCCTCCCAGTGCTGCCATCACCCATCCCAGGGGCAGCCTGGTCCAGTGCAGATCCAGGGGCACATACCCCCAATGGCTCCCCCAGGTTGTGTGCAGTGGTGGGAACCACCCCTACCCACACCTCCCAGAGAAGCTGTGGTTCCATCTGCGCCACGCCCTGACTGTGCAGTGCCTACCCCTGCTCCAGCACCAGCCCCACTCCCTCTCTCACTTCAGGGGCCTCGATCTGCCCCCACCACGGCCCTTCCTTCCCCCCCCCCCCCGTCCCCCAACAGACTTACCAGCCACACACTGCTCTCCAAGCTGCCAGGCTACATATTGGCAATCAAATCTGGATCAGTCAATATGGCTTATTAAAAATCGGCCATCAGTATTAGCCCAAAAAATCTCTATCAGCGTACCCCAATGAGAAATGTGTGTTTTACTAAAAAGAGACTTCCATGTTTGTTTAGAAAAAATAGTGATTAAGAAGTTCTTTTGACTGTGGTCTTCATTAAACAAGAAAAAGAAAGAAATCCCCTTTTCTTCCCAACTGTTTCGCCCCCTTTGTTCTCAGTCAGTTCTGACACTGTTCCTTTTGAATCCCATAATCATTTAGATGAAGGATTTCCTGGTTTATTCTAAACTTCTGTAGAAGTGCAGGGTTTGACCTTATTCCTGGTGTGCACAGATACACATGAAACGTGAAATAAGTGTTTCAATTTGCTCAACTACAAATGTGTGAGCGCCCACCCCTCCAGGACATAAAAGATGATAATCATGGCCAGGAATAATTGCGTTGTCTGATGGTAAATGGTCAGCATACCTTTACTACTTAAGCATTAAATTTCCTTTATTTTGAGAAGAGTCCCAGGTGTTAAGAGAAGGCAGTTGCAATGTAAAACTTCCAGAGTTGTATAAAATGCTAGTTCTTTAGAAATTTGCTGGCTGTGATGGATATTTCAGAATTAGTTTTCTGCCAATTGTACTAAAGATAACAGCAAGGAGAGTAATTTGGCATTAATTTTTTCTCTCTTTTGTATTTCAGGCAGTCCTATGACAAGTGGGGTGAAATTAACTGTACGCATATTGCAGAGACTAAATGCAATTTCACAAGTACAGAAATTCAGAGCCACTGGATAACTTTTTTCCGTGTTAGAAGTGAGCTAGAAGACATGCAGTCTGACTGGGTGGAAACAAATGCTTTTATGGCAGTGAAAGACAGTAAGAATTCTTTATGATCTCAGCATCTCTCCTAGAGTAAATCTCTGAAAAGCGTGGTGATTTTCTGCTTAGTTTTATTGCTCGCTTGACTATGTATTGTGTACAGTGGAAGTCAAATGACAGGCCTTGCTGGGTCATGATTCTGCTTTTAAAATCTGTATGGTTAATGGTAACAAGAAAGTGGTGCGGGTATAGGGACCTAGTGGAATTTTGATGCTTGTCCATTCTGCTCTGAAGTTAAACAGGACCCAGCAGTCAAACTGTTTTGAATGTCATGTAAACACGAAGTTTTCTTTGTTTTCTAGCATACACAGGTCTCATCAGAACCTGAACCTGTCTGTATTTTCCTGGGTTTTTTGAACAAAGGAAACTCCTCCATTGCAAATAATGACTTTGCCTGTCCAAGTTTGCTGAGGAGCGTGCCTACCTCTCCCCACATCTTGGTGTCAAAGGGAGAGAGAGGCTGCAATTAGATTTAGACAGAC